CCAAATCTGTTAAGTCCAGCATACAGAAAAAGAAACTGGTTTTTAAACAGGGAGTACCCTCTGATCTGCATATAGCCACTAAGGAACTAAAAATAGAAATTCAAAAAGCAAAACAGAATTACAAATCTGAATTGGAGAATAAAATGGCCGCAAATAACCTTGGCTCAGCCTGGGCTAGTTTGAAAACTATAACAGGTCTTCAGAATATACAGAATAGCAGCCAGGTTACACTGGAAGGGTTTAATTCAGATGCTGATTTTGCCAATGCACTTAATTGTTTTTATAATCGTTTTGATATTTCTGATTTTAGTAATGTAACTCAGGAACTGAGTGATAAACTCAAGGATAATTAGCACTTTGATATAGATCAAAATGATGTTGAAAAGGCTTTCCTTTCAATACGGGTAAACAAAAGCTGTGGGCCTGATAATATCTGTGGACGTTTGCTTAAAGCCTGTGTAAAAGAGTTGAGTCCTGTTTTTACCTATATTTTTAATACGTCTTTACAGGCACAGCATGTACCTAAGGTGTGGAAAGATGCTGTGGTAGTCCCGGTTCCCAAGTCCAGTAGTCCCAATACCCTTAATGATTTTAGACCAGTTGCTCTTACATCAATTTTAATTAAAACCCTTGAAAAACTGGTAAGGGAAGAAATTCTAAGGAAAACTGAATATACACTTGACCCTATGCAATTTGCTTATAGGCCACATAGAGGAGTAGAGGACGCTACAGTTACGTTGTTGAACTTACTTGCTAAACACTTGGAGGGTAATGGGTCTCATGCTAGACTTTTATTTGTTGATTTTTCATCTGCTTTTAACACAATCCAACCCCATGTTCTAATTAATAGGCTTTTAGAACAGTTTACATTGAGTAACAATATTGTGGGCTGGATTCTTGATTTCTTAACTAATAGGACACAGAGAGTAAGGGTGAATGGAACCCTGTCTGACGAAGTTTGTTCCTCTACGGGCTCCCCACAAGGATGTGTGCTTTCACCTCTAATATTTTTTCTCTACCCAAATATGTGTCAGAGTAAGTGGGAAAACAGGACTATTTTAAAGTATGCAGATGACACTGTTATTGTTAGTGAGCTTCAGGGCAATGAGACCAGCCATGGCCCGATTATTGATGACTTTATAAAGTGGTGTGAGGAGTCCTACCTCCAATTAAACTTATCTAAGAAAAAAAATATGATTATTGATTTCAGGAAACAAGCCACCAAAAAATGTAAACTATCAAGACAATTCAACAGACAGATGAAGACTGTAATACTAAGGATGATCACAGGATAATAAATCTAATCCTGTTCAGCTCATCCTCAAGTGTATCGGAAAGAAAAAAAATTATGCACAGAATCAGTTGATATGTACTGTACTGTCAGTATAATTTTACATAATTATTGTAAAAATGCTTATAGAGCATTAAAATAATTGTAAAAAATCTTTAAAGGAAAAATCATTAAACGTATTATATATTCTATCCTCTATCACTGATAAGAAATATTTTAAATCTGACCATTTACTGCTCAGTTCAGTTAATTAGAATAAGAAACAAATATATAAAATAAGTTAATATGTACTTTATTGGTAATATAGATTTATATTATTTCACAATTGCTTATAGATCATTAAAATAATTTTTACAAAGTGTTGGTAACAATTTACAATAAGGTCTCTTTGGTTAACATTAGTTCAATCATGACAACTCTCGGAACATTTTAGCATGGTGATGGATATGACAATATTAATGCATTTGGTCTTGGCGGAACAGATCTGCTACGCTGCTGCTGAATTGCTGCTGCTGTTGGTTATTGCTGTACAGTCTGTGTCCAGATTCTAAAATTAATGAAAATGAGTCCACAGGGCAGTTGTATTTTATTTTTTAAACATTATAGTGAATCTTGTTTGAAGTTTGTATACTACTGTATTTGGCACAGCATATGTTGTAAGTTTTTGAAGATAGATATTATATAATACTTGTACCAATGATTTACTTAGGTCAAGTTGCTATGAGAAAAATATTTGGAAGCGTCAACATTAAGTATCTGCTGGACTTTGCAAGTCATTACATTTTCTTATTACTAGACCTTCAATTTGTTTTTTGAGATTTGATTGGATAATTTTTTTTAGTTCATATTTTTAATATAGACATATCAGTCACTGATTTCATCAAAATAACTTTGTAATAAATGTCTTGTCTTCGTCTTTTATTAGGTTGTTCAGAAGGATGAAGCTGAAGCAGAGCTTCAAAGATGTACAATGGCAGTGTATGTCTTCAAGGAAGATGAGGATTCTCTCCAGCCACCCCATCACGTTGGAATTGTTATCGAAGGGGTGCAGGTCCTTAATGACTTGCCATCAGTCCCACATGCATGTGCCATGTTGTTTGGCCTCATCTACATTCTAAATTTGAGCTACCCAAGTGAACTCAAACACACCTTTGAGGCTCTACAGAAAATATTAATGGAGATAGAACCCAAGAAAATGGCATGCAGAGTGTTCAGTCTGAGTGTCACGCTCTAAATACTGGAGTAATCAAAGACATTTGGATACAGTGGTTGAACCACTGTAGTCACATTAACTGTTTTAAATATGTCTTTAGTAGCTTTCTGGGCATCTGAAAGTGTTAATTATCTTGCAGTCAATGGAGGCCTCACTGAGCCATCGGATTTTATCAAAAATATCTTAATTTGGGTTCCAAAGATAAACGAAGGTCTTGCCGTGTAGAGCAACAGCGGGTGAGTAATAAATTACATAATTTTCATTTTTGGGTGAACTAACCCTTTAAACTGACTTGTGCACTCAAGACCAAACTTTGTTCATGGACTGCACCCCAAGCAGTTGAACTGTAGTGTTGTTGTTTTTCTTTTTTTTGGTTCTTTTGATTTTGCATTTGTAATAGGGTTAATGGTCATTTCTCTCAAAGGTTAGCAGTTTTAACTGTTAACTTAATTTTTACACTTATTTTACATATTTCAAATCTTAAAGGAGGGTTGTAGAAAAGATTAACATACCACATTAATGTGGTTAAGGTTACAGAAAGGTTGATTTTGCATTTGTAATAGTTCAAAATAATGTGACGTTCATACATCCTGGTAATTTTGTAAAATGATAGCCACGTTTTAAGACTGTTAGGTCTATTCTTATACTGCTTAATGGTTTTTACATTACATATCTCAACTTTTCAAGGAGAGGTGTACAAAACAGTTTTACATTAATGTGGTTAAAGTTACAGAAAGTTGACAATGTTTTAAAAAAAATCTTGAAAAGACCATTTTATTTTATACTAGTGTTTTTCCATCAATTGTTGATGTGTAAAGCGCATACAGGCTAGTCTAACTTTGTAATAGTTCAAAATAATGTGACATTCATACATCCTGGTAATTTTGTAAAATGATAGCCACGTTTTAAGACAGTTAGGTCTATTCTTATACTGCTTAATGTTTTTTCATTACATATCTCAAGTTTTCAAGGAGAGGTGCACAAAACAGTTTTACATTAATGTGGTTAAAGTTACAGAAAGTTGACAATGTTTTAAAAAAAATCTTGAAAAGACCATTTTATTTTATACTAGTGTTTTTCCATCAATTGTTGATGTGTAAAGCGCATACAGGCTAGTCTAACTGGCAGTAAAATTCAGTTGGACTAGCCTGTATGCGCTTTACAAATAAAACAAAAACATTGTCAGTAAAAGCTCATTTAGTTGACTTACTATAAATAAAACACAGGAATATTCTCTTGGAAAGACATCATAATAAACATTGAGGTCTTTCCAAGAGAATATTCCTGTGTTTTATTTATAGTAAGTCAACTAAATGAGCTTTTACTGACAATGTTTTTGTTTTATTTTAAGTGAACATTTTTTATATTAACGCAAATTTAGCTTTGTAAGTCGTAACAAAGCTAAAAATATATATTGACCTACATTTAAGTAAAGTTTTTTTCTTGTGACTAAAGAAAATAAATAGATTTAGGTGTTATTAAAAATATAGTTTGTACTGAATCAGAAATTCAACTTGAGTAAATGTAATAAAAATGCTTGTAACAAAATTACAGCAATTTATTTAGTTTAGTCCAAAGTAAAAAGTATACTTGGATGTTATGGTAAAAAGTAAGTTTTTCCAAAGTAAAAATTTTAAGTTGTACCAAAGTAAAAAATAATGATTTGGTCTCCATAAAAAGCAATATTTTAACTTTGTTTCAATGTAATTTTTTATCTTGGGCAGAAGAACTATTTTGATTGATATTAAATTAAAATTTAAAGTTTCAACCAAATCAAAAATATAGTTTGAGAAAAACTAATAAATTTAGCTGTAACAAATTACAGTAATTTTTTTAGGTTGGTCCAAAGTATCATTTTATTCAGTGCAGTCTAAAACAGCCTTCTCATTCTGATTGCTGTCTCTAGACCTATTCGCTGTTAAAACTATTTATGTTTTGGTCTCTGAGCGTGTGCGGTGACTGTTTTTCTTCCCAGTGGCCTCCACTTTTAATCAATTAGTTTTGTATTTCACATTTCTGTTTTTGTTCTGTCTTTTTGCGATATTTAATTCATAGCAATATAAGGAAAAACAAGAAATGATTGAAAAGACATGATGTAAGCTGGACTCAAACTCTCTCTGCCCACATGAGCACCAAAGCTAAATGTGTTATAGCACTAAAACAGTTAAAAACCCTGTCATTACAAATGCACTAAATACAATAATTTAATAAATGCATTTTTACAATTTAAGCACTTAACTAAAATAAGTATTAATAAAAATAACTAGAGATCATTCCACCCAGTCCCTTTGTAAAAAGCGAAAATAAAACCGCTGCTGCAAAATATTTGGGGAAAACGGGCGAAGGGACCACCTGCCTTGGCGTCTTACTGTAAATCACGTGTTTTGCTATTACTTGGATATTCGCCAGGGGAGTAAAGATCATCCCACCCTGTCCCTTAAAAAAAAAACGAAAGTAAAACCGCTGCTGCAAAATATTTGGGGGAAACTAGGGAACATGTCTAGGCATGTGTGGCAACTGCAGGCTATATAAGCATCTACGGCTTCATCCATTCCATCAGACCATTAACGGACCTGAACTTAAAGCGTCTGGCATTTCGACGAGGTAAGGCAACTGCTTTGGTTATTTTGTCGTTTTATAATGAATTACAAAGAAACTGAATTTATAATGAAAGCAGTTAAGGTGAATTGCAGCTTTAAACAGAAGTGATTTGCTATAATAATAAGATTTAAGTTATTATAGCCTAACCCAGGGGTCGGGAACCTCTTTTGACCAAAGAGCCATTTTTTTTTTTTTTTGGTTAATGCATTTTTCCAAAAAGAGCCAAAGTAAAAAAAAATAAATAAAAAATACATATATGGCTATAGGTGCGGGCGGGTGGATAATTTATTTGAAGCTGCGGATTCGGGTGACGTCTTAGCTCATCCACGCATCAATAAAAGTGTATCAACCAGGTTCCAGAAATAATAACTGAGGGTGCTTCTGAAATTAGTGAGGGTGCTCTAGTCTTAATGCACATTTTCACATATTTTGTCCCGTCTATTGCTATGGTTATCACCATGTCTAACACTGCTACTTCGAGAGAGAATCCCGCATATGCAGACGTCATTCCCGAAACTTTGCAACGTGTGTGTGGCTGAAAAACAAAGTTCTACATTTTAAATGGATTGCCTAGAAAGCTCGCAAAGAGCGCTCATAATAACCACTAAAAAGCTGTCACTCTTTGTTCATCGCGATGACGCGATCTCACAGCCCCTGTAGGCTTCAAATAGATTATCCACCCGCACCTATATTTTTTGTCTGATTTAGATAACCGCACCCGATCGTCACATTCAGGGTTATGAAAAACCTGGAAAAGTCATGGAATTTTAAAACAGTAATTTCCAGGCCTGGAAAGTTTTGGAAAAATAAATAAACCCAAAAAGTTTTGAGAAAGTCACATTTCATATTTCATTTCACATTCACAATTCTCTGCTTAGCATAATTAGGATATGTTTAATCAGGTCCTGAATTTCGGTGCGGGATTGTTCATATATCGCATTACTAATTCCCACAGCTTTTGACTTTAAAAAGAGAGAAATTCCTGCAAAATATTTATTCAATATAGCGTGTAGGTTAGATGAGTAAATAAATCCACACAAACCATCAGATCAAATCAGTCATTTGAAAACCGCGTGAGTGATTCAGCTGTACCGCGTCCTCGCGTTGACTTTCTCTTCACATCGGCGCATCTAGAGCTGCTGAACACTGCGATACAAGGCTTTAGCTCGCGTTTCGGTACAGTTGACAGAATTGTCAATTGCCTAATTGGTCATTGTTGCATAATCACACATTTTTTTTATTTTCACGTCTTTTTTAGCCATTCGGTACTCGCGCTCTCCAGAGGCGCTTTTCTGTGCGCTCACAGTCACATCCAAAGCGCGCGCTGCCAGTGGTACCAAACAACCAAAGCTTGCTGCGCTTAAGTGGCCAAATACACACAAAATGACGTCAAAATGGTCGTTCTGGCGAGTATCCTCATAAGCACGGTCGGTTTCGTCTTAAGTTAATGTAAACAGTTGCGAAAGAAAACGCATGTCTCTCAGTATTGGATCCGTGAAATAGGTCTTGTGAGAGCAGCCTAGGCACTCCACCGAAGACAAAGTCTACAATGCTTGTCTGTGTTCCACTCGGACCTGGCGCGCAGAAAACTTCCAGTCAGAAGCGGATTGAGTTCTGTTTCGTGCAGGCCCGGCGCTACGGGGTGCAAAGGGGGGCATTACCCCCCAGAAATAATTTGTGACCCCTCCCCCCGCCCCCACATATCTACGTCAAGATGTGGAAATATTAGCATAATGCCGCCCAAATGTTCACGCAAAGAAAGAAGGTGTAACTTTTATTCTCGCTGTAGTATGGTTGCCGCTGCCGCCATGTCGTAAAGACGCTGTGTGCTTCTTTGTGAAAGCGAAACTACTTTGTTTGGTCTTCCAAAAGAGGACGATATCCGCTTCGTCATGCCTAGAGCT